CTTGGGAAGCTTTGCCTTCTACACTCCCTGACCCCAAATCTCCGGGGGCTGAATGCCCCCTTCTCAGAGAAGGGCGAGCGACTATTCCAACGCAGGCCATTAGGTGGAGGGCAGGGGCAGGCTCTGGGCTCCCAGCTAGTCTCCCCGCCCCCAGCTCTCCCCTCAGTTCTCGGATGCCTACCTAGTCTCTTGCCCCGATTCGTGACGCCACCCGTTTCTCCCTCAGGATCCGAGCTAAAATCCCAGGGACCGGAGCCCTTGCCTCTGCAGCAGCCACAGTCTCCGGATCCAAAGCCAAAGCCGAATGAGAAGGGCGTCCCTGTGCCCCCACTCCCAGCAGCCCTCTGCCCCCTCCATCTCCCTTCCCTCCCCACCCTCTCCCCCTCTCGGCCCGAGCCATTTCCTGGTGGGTGTCAGGATCACTCACTCGGGAATCTGCGCAAATTGCCTCAGCGGCCAGGACTACATCTCCCAAGAGGCTCTGCTCCAGGAGTCCGGGAAGGGCGAGCACCTTGGCCGCGGCGCCTGCTGGGACTTGTAGTTGACTAGACAGGGCGCCGCCCTGCACTTCTGTGACCCCGCCGCTGGAGGCGCCGTGAGGGGTTGGTGTCTCCTGGACGCCACTAGCCCCAACGCTGGGGCTTTGCATGGGGCCCAAGGGAGGCCTGAGCTTGGATTTACACTGTAATAAAGACTCCTATGGAAAACCCAAGGCCTCCTGTACTTCCAGACCCCTGCTGCACTGAAAAGCACTTAAATGACAGTCCAGGAGAACCTTCCCTATCTCTGGGGAAGAAGTCTCCTTTACCGTCTATTGAGGTTATAAAATGATTGAAGGGAAGATGTTGAGAGACCACCCATTCCAGGACTAGCCAAGCCTTGACGGTCTCTGTCTATGCCTGTGCTCAAGGCAGACATCACTAATCGCTCCCACACTCTGCCTCTGTGCAGCCACCTCACCTGAGCCCAGACCCATGTGTCATATGGCCTCTGGATGCCCCCCACCCCCAAACATATCTAAGCCTCTTCCTCATCCTACCTGATTTCCAACTCAGGCATGTCTCACTGCCTGCATTGTCACCAGGCCAGACACCCAGATATGGCCCTGGCCTCCTACTCCCTCACCTCCCACATCGAATCAGTCACGAAGTCATGTATATTCTACCTTACAAACATCTCTCATCCACCCACTTCTCTCCATCTCAATTGCCTTGGGACCAAGTATAGGACTCAATGGCCTCTCCGGGCCTCAGACTCCAAAACCATAAATGGGGAAGGGGGGAAGCAGGGAGAGGCAGGGAGAAGATGGAGGAGACTGAAGTCTTAAGATCCACAGACCTGGGTTTGAATCCCGGCTCCACTACCCCTTGGCTGTGTGACCTTGAGCAAGTGACTTCACCTCTCAAAGCCTCAGTTTCCACAAATGGAAACTGTCCCCATAATTGTATCGACATATAAAGTCCTTAGCACCAACACAGGGCCTGGTACGTAATATATCATGGTAATGACATTGCTTCCAAACCTCAGTCATTCCCTCATGACCTTCATGATCTTTATGCCACCTGTTCTGCTAGTCATCGAACATTTTTCTTTGAATTGGATTATTATTTAAAAATATAACCAATGTCTTTCAGAAAGAACGGTTACTTCACCAGCTTGAAAGAAGCCAGTATTGCTCACCAGAAATAGACGATAATAAAAAGAAGCACAAAAATATTAACATTTAAAATGTTTGTTCATGAATCACCTAAAATCATCTCACTTGCCCCTAGCGACACATGTCACATTTTAGGAGATAGATGATGACATTCCGAGAAGTAGTTACAGCCTCAGAATTTGCATACAGGGGTGCCTACTAGCAACTACCTAACTAAAACAAAGACGGCTCAGGGGACCTATATTGCATCTGGATTTGCCCAGCAGGGACAATATTTTAAATTTTCAAATGAAAAAATAGCAAAATTTTCTAAATATGCTTTTATTCACATTTTGTATAAGACAACATGTCCGTTTGCCTATCTCAAAGAGTGGTGGGAGAGGAACTGGTTGAGATTATGGGGCCAGGAATGGCTAAAGCCTCCAAGCCCATCCTTGGCATCTTTGCTGGAGGCAGGAAACAGACTGAAGATTGAAACAGCCTTTATTGAGCGCCTCTCAGTTGCCTGGTCCAGTGCCAGACTTTTACACCATTATAATTCCTCCAGTGAGATCAGTTGCATTTGTCCTGTTATACAGATGGGGAAACTGAGGCTCAAAGCAGGATAGTGATAATATTCCTTCATTCATCCCACAAACATTTACTGAACATCTGCAATGCACTCAAGTACATTTTAGGAATACGACAATGAACAAAAACAAAGTCCATGGTTTCACGGAGCTGATATTCTAGTGGGAGGAGACAGACAATCAACAAATAGAATATGGCAGGGAGTGACCCGGGCAATGGAGGAAAGTCTAGCAGGGTAAGGAGATAGAGTGACAGGGCTTGCTATTTTAAACTGGGTGGTCAGGGAAGGCTTCACTGAGTGGTGATATTTGAGCAGAGGACAGAGAGAAGGGAGGCAGTGAGTCATGTGAACATGTGGAGAAAAGGAGATCCAAGCTGGGGGATCAGCAAATGCGATGGCCCTGAGGAGGTGACATGCCTGATGTGGACAGCAAGATGCCCAAAGCCAAGGATATGGGGGAAAAGGAGTATGAGATAGGGTCAGAGGGGTGAAAGAGGCTAGATTATAGGGATTTATAAAGTGGATTGAGAATTTTTACTTTTACTTTGAGATGGAAGTCATGGAAGAGTTTGATGCGAGGGAATGATAATGTTGTCAAAGGATCACTAAGTTAGGGTATTAAAGGATCATTTTTTTGCGATAAAAATTATGATGTTACAGGTTCGAGTCCCCTACGTGGATGGCCGTGTGAACTGGGGTTGTATCTAGTGTCTAAACTCAATGTCCTAAGTGCTGAGGATGATAACGTCTGTCATCCCCAGCACCTAGGACAGTGCCTGGGACACAGTAGACGCTCAATAAACAGTGCTCCGTAGGTCTCCGCAGTTCCACAAAAGAACAGCAGGTGTCGCACCAGCCCCACCACCGCTTGCCCGGAGTCTCGCGGGACAGGCTAAATCAGACTTTAGCAGGAACCCACTCACTCCTCCGCAGGAGAAGGATTCAGAATATTCCGCGAAGGCGCTTCTGAATGCCGAATTATGAGTCTCTCCTCTTAAAAAACTGACTTTTCACTTTAGAAAAAGGGACTCCGGAGCCCTTTAACGGCTAACCAGGTCCCCGGGCGCTGCTTCCCAGAATGCGCGGCGCTATGTAAATGAGACGGTTTTGTGGGTGCAAATGATTCATACCATGCAAGGCAGAGGCAACATTTTGCAAGGACATCTGTCGTGAGCAAGGTATGGAAAGAATTTATACCGTGGAAATCAACCATCTTACATCTTCCAAAACTTCACCACCGTAACTGTAAAAGGTAAGCATTTAAGAACTTTATATAGCTTCAGGGGGAACAGGGATTTCTGCCCGGATGATCCTCAGTGGTCTGGGGTGCAGGCTTCAAACCTGTAGCTGTCTAGCGACAGAGTGGTTCAATTCCACCTTTCGGGCGACAACGGCCT